AAAGAAATCTGTATTATTTTTAACTCATACAAGTTTCAGCTTCATTTAATTAGAATCCATATGCAATTCGAAATAAAGTGAACATTTTTTATTGTTCAACGTTGCCACCTTTAATTGTCTTTACATGCAAGGAAAAAGGATACTTATTACAATGACGTTAAATCCTAAAATTGATGTAATCAAAAAGACGACGTAAACAAAAAAATCGTGTGTAATCTAGAACGATGTGAGAATTGCACACATTTAAGACCTTTCCGTATAAACTGGTGCGGTTGGTCCAACGAGAAACCTTCCATGCGTAAACTCTGATAGGATTTTGCACTTTTTGCACTTTTATATCCATTACAGCTTACCGTCAAATTATTACCTACTTTTTAAATACTATTCTATGTAACATATACTAGTATCATGAAGAGTATTATTTTGTTTTTTTGTAACAGGTTACCTCAAAAACTAATACAACGATTTGAAATGTTCATTTACCTTTAGAAAACAACATTGTCACTAACATCTTACTTCTTACTAATATTATAAACTAGCTGTTCCCGTGCGGCTTCATCCGCATGATATTGTGAAAATTTTATTTTATTGTTTACATTTGTCAAATTTTCAATACCAAATGTCAAAATAACATGGCATGACAAACCTTGGTAATCTTGTTTCCTTGATGTTGGCAGCAACTTATGGTCTCTTTCCCACATTAGGCTTTTTATCCAAAATGTTTACCCCCTAAGTTTAATTGCGTGAAAATATATAGCCTAAAGCGTGACGTCAGTGTAGGGCTTTTTATTAAAAAAAAGAATCTTTCAAAAATATGCTGTAATTGCTGATATCTTAGGCAACAAAGAAGTGTGTGTTTTTGTTTATTATAATAGTATAAGCGAAAATTAATTAAAAACGGCTCAACTCACGCTTTTTTCCTCCGGTGACGGCACCGACTAGTTTCGGATCCTTCGGGGATCCTTCTTCAGGGCGAGTATTATTTAACTTTTGTTCGCGGTCGCGTCGCGCCTCGCACTGCGGGCCAGGGCGCGGAGGGCGCGGTTCGAGGGTGCGGGGGGCGCCAAGAGCGTTGTGGCCGCTTCGTGCTGCGTGAGTTGAGCCGTTTTTAATTAATTTTCGCTTAAAGTAATGTCTCACGATAGTTTAAACAATTTAATATAATAGTATAGATGTGAAAGTTGAATTAGATGTTTGGCGCCAAAACGACTGAACGGATGTCGATGAAATTTTGCATAGATGTAGAGTATAGTTTGAAAGAATACATAGACTACATGCTTTTGTTTTTTTTTGTAATGCGGACAGAAACGCGAAGAAAACTAGTAGGCTATATTTATTATACCACGCGGATGAAGTTGCAAGGCAAAGCTATGACGTAAAAAGATTTACTACAATACTTGCTTATTTTATCAGTTATACAACTTTCATGGAATTAGAGAAATGGAGAGTCACAAAGATCATCTGATTCTAACGTATGAACTTATTACAGACTTCTCTATATGAACTAACTGTTGCCCGTAACTTCCTCCACGCAATATCAAGATAAATAACCTATAATATGGCCGCCTGTGTTGGCTACCATTCTGTGAATGTCCTGTCGAAATCGGCCCAGCCGTGTCGGAGGTTGCCCAGAACCAACGGTCTGCGGACAGACAGACAGACAAAAATTATTTAAATGTGATTATCGTTATCAGCAACGCAAATACATCAACTTCCCGAAATCTGGAATTTTTCTTTTGATATTACAGACACTCCAATTTTTGACCGACTTCCCAAAAGAAAGAGGTACTCAATTCGTCGCAATTTTTTTTTTATTATTTGAATAGATAAACAAAGATGCATATTTATCCAAAGTAGTAAAGGATTATTTTCAATATGAAACTTAAAACAGTTTACGAGCATGATTTATTTTGCTTGGTATTCCAATTACCCCCCCTACCTTACCCCTTAATTGTGTTGAACGTGAATGTAATACAAAATGTTTAACGACCCAGTAAAAACGGCCCAGTACGGACGCCTCACGAAAAGAAAACGGATAATCCGCTTTGACAGGGCGCCAACAAATGTGTCTGATGAGAGGTGTTAACTATGAGCAGAAGCGGTTTGTAAAACTACATAATATAAGCCATAGAAAGCAAGAAATGGATCTATTGGTTGTTAGGTATGTAACAAGATAAAGTCACGTAGTAAAGTAAAAGCCTAGGGCGACATTTTTGCGCCCCCTAACTGTAATACAAACTCATATGAAAATGTTGCTTATGGCGCATGTGGCGCCCTGGGCATTCGCCCCACTTCGCCCTACCCTTACGAGTGTTTTCTCGCAAATCATTGTAGACTTCCAGAGTCTACTCAAATTTGGTAACGGTTTAAAAATATAAGTAGACAGTTAAAAAATGTTTTATCGACAAATTGTACAATTATCTTCAAAGCTGAACGAATTTATGTAAAGTCAAGTTATGCTACGAACATTTAGTCTTATGTACATTCTAAGTACATATTTATGTAACTGACCAATGCGAACCTTAACAAGTGTTCATTAAGCGTTTAATAACTTATTCATTCGTTCTTTAAATGGAAAATTGACTTAATATTTATAATTACCGCAGTAAATGTTAACCGACGGTAATATCAGACAGGTAATCTATACAGATAACAAAATTGGAATGTCTGTTTGTAACATCAAAAGAAAAATTCCAAATTTCGGGAAGATGTATTTGCTTTCCTGATAACGAAAATCGCATTTGATTTTTTTTTGTCTGACTGCAAGCCGTTTAAATCCCGGATAATGTCCGAATCTGCTGGACCTATTTCGACTGAACTTTCAAAGGGAAGCTGATATAGACGGGCATATTACAGACTACTTTTTTATTTTAAAATTTCGTGGACGAAGTCGCGGGCAATACAGCTGTTGTTAATAAATTATTGCTGGAGAATTCGAAACATTTTTCATTGTTAGATAAAATATACGGTTGCATAAAACCATTAAGACAATAATTGTTATTAATTAGCAAAGGTGTGATTAATTTAATGCAAGTATGTGTCTCGCGGCCTTTATCAGGGAAATAATTTGTACCGTGTATAAGGAGAACAGGAAGTGTTTACATTTTGCTCGCCAATGTTTAATACGAAATAAAGATTTCCGCAGTGTTGCCACAGTGGCCTCTAAAACCTAGTCTCGGTGCGGCCGAGTTACAAGATTCCAGTTAATTCAAAATATCAATAATAAGAAGGCTTTTGAAAATTGAAAACGATTATCATCTTATTAAAAACTACCAGCCCCGGATTCGCAAGTCCAATGTTAATGCAAAAATATATTTATTCTCATCATGTTACAAACCTCTTAAGTTTTAAGCATTTATTGAAACTTTCCTCTTGAATCATTCTACTAAAAAATGCACCAAAACCAATCACGTGAAGATCTAAGCATACATATAGACCAGTGATTCTCAACCTTTTTTGTTGCGGGACATATTTAACGATTTCAAAATTTGGTGGCACACAAAGAAAAAGATATTTTTTTTTTTACTTTCTACAACACACTGCATAATTAGTTTATGACAGAAATATGCAAAATTTGGCGGCACACATTTGAAATTTGGCGGCATTTGAAACAAAAGTGCCACGTAAAAGAAGTTGAGAATCACTGGGATATACAGACAATAAACGACTGTTTTAATGTATAAATATTTTTTAGTCGCATCCCGTAATCCGCTATGCGCTCGTCACTTGGGTCGTAAGTTTAATTGTCCATCTTGTATTACATTTACTGTTAATAACAGTACCGAGCTACCAAACTTGATACACTTTTGGACAGGTTCGGTTTTTTTTTAATTGCCCGCCGCCACGCTCCACAAAGACAACTCGGTAATTTCGGTACCATAATAAGAGCACTTTTTTAATATACAGATAACAAATGTTTGAATTTTCTGCTATTTGGATAAATTTACTAATAATGCGATGGATTGATGTTTGTTTGTTTGTTGAGTGCGTCCAAACTGAATCTCGATAAATTTTGTATAGATGTAGAGGATAGTTTCGGAGAACTCATAGGCTACTTTTGTTCTTTTAATTCCACAATACGTAGTCTGAGGCGAAAGTTATTTTGTTTTAGAAATATTCATTATCCTCTATTTTATTATCATTTAGTCCTAAATTAAAGTAAGACTCTCTACATAGCTTCAGTTGTAACTGAACTGACAAATTTTTCAAATCAAACTGTAGGTACGTATGTAGGCATTTGAATTGTCAGTTATATTGTTAACGCTTTTTCTACACGTGGATTGAAACGCGTTAATAATTTCAACTTAAATTCTTCAAATTTAGATTTTAATAATTTAGTTTTTAATAAAATAAATAAAAAACAATTGATTCTAAATGAACTTGCATTCCAGTAAGATTGTACCTTAAGTGACGTCAACTGCATTAAAAATTTAAATCGAGACCAGAAACTTTCGAAATTATGTAAGACAATAATTTGGCCGAACCTTAAAAATGTAGCAATACTAAAATAATCTTAATTGTTTTATTTGTTTGGTAAACATTTTGCATATGTCGTAAAATGTCTTCACATTCGAAAATGCCTGGCGAACAATTGATTTGATGCAGTAGGAGCATAGGGAGAGAAAATATCCAATCTTTATGCGGTCCTTCCTCCGTCGGTTAAAGGCAACGCATCTGCATTGGATGTCTATGGGCATGAGTCGCTTCAATTTTTAGGCGAATTCGTTTGCTCGTTTGCAATCAACTATCGCACAACTATCGCGCTTTGATTCCTATGAACTTATATGGAGCTCGATTTTTAGTTGTGCAACTAAACAATTGAATGGTCTGAGAAACAATCCACAATCGCACGACGGTGCGATACTTTAGTCATAGGTGTGCGCCCACTCTTCTGATATAAATAGTCAGTTTACTTTCTTTTGTTTTTAACACAATGTTTATATTTAACATCAACGTTTTTCATACTAAAATCCTTAAAAAGACCTTGCAAATCGTTTCAGATACAGTATGTCACAAAACTGCAAATCAACGTACACAGCGGCGACGACGCGCGACGCCAACAACAACACCCTGTACCACGGGGCCAGCGCGGGGTACGGAGGCAGGGGGTACGCGCCACCCAACAAAAACTCTAATAACAACTATCAGGTACAGTTCTACATAAAAACAATTTACGTATTAACAGATAAAGGATAAAAATCCATTAGAACTCCGAATCAGTGGGAATAAAGAGCTTTTGGAGATTTCTCGAATCTCTTCCAGAAAGAATCGCCAAGAATTGCACAATTAGATTGCTAGTATCGCTAGCAGTAATTTTTCTATCCCACTCAGAGATCCTGTGTAATTTGAAATCGTAATCATCACCTCCCCTACCTTCCATCGACACACCGAGTTTTCGTTCTCCTAGTAACTCTATCATACGTCATCTCAGTCATCACTCCCTTCTTGATCATGGCACCTTTCATGCAATCCATCCATCTCTTTCTAGGTCTACCTTTACCGGTGTACCACACTCATAACTAACGTGCTTCTTGTTACATGCGATTCAATTTATAGTCACAGTATAGATTTAGAAGAAAAAAGCTTACAATTACATATTGCTGAAGCGTCTTTGCATGCGGCAGATAAACAGTAACAATTAAATCGTAAAAAAAAAGTAAAAAAAGGGTCACTTTAAATTCTTAACGAACGAATCCCATGCGCAAAAAGGATAACCGATTGAGGTCCGCATTGCGTAAAATTCAGCGCATTCGTCCTGCCGGGCGCAAATCCCTACGAATTGCGATCGACAGACGAACAGACTGTTTCGTAACGTTTCCACCGCCGATTATATATAAATAATTTATGAACGTAATGAGTTACGATTCGGGCTATATACTGGCTATGTGAACATACCCTCTATTTATCGGATTATTCACAACCGTCACCCCGCTATGTCACCACGTGGGGACAGATGAGTAATAAAAGTTATATCCGTCCCACCTTTAGCGACAAGGGGATGGTTGGAACTGATTTTTTTTCTTAACGGTTCCATCTGTCACATTATTGGTGATAGACTAAAAGGTGGGACGATTGAAACTTTTTATTATCATCTGTTCCCACGTAAGGACAGAACGGGGTGACGGTTGGGAATAATCCGGATTATCAATATAACGTATTGCACTTCCTAGTAGATCTTTATTTTCATCAGTTTTCAACTTTCGACTTCCTATGTTTGAGAACTCATCTTTTACCCTCGACAGGGAACAATGTTTTTACTAATAAAGGTTTTAATTTAACGCCTTGCGCGGGATTTCGGCGCAGATTTTTATAGTAGTACACGTACATCTTTAGCGAAAGTTAAAACTGATTTAAAAGCTCACACAAAGTGTACGATCGCTCGTTACTAACATTCTTTAACGTATAGTCCAATAAAGTTTTGACCTGGTTACTATGAACCTACACAATATAAAATATTATGGCTTATTAGTAACAGCCTCATGGTAAAAAATTGATACAACATCGTTACTGTAGATGGTTTGTCATTCTGTACCTACCATACTAATCATACTACCATACTAATATTGTAAATGCGAAAGTTTAGATGGATGTTTGTTAGAGTTTGTAGCCTTAACGGTTGAACAGATTTCGATGAAATTTGGTACAGATGTAGAGGATAGTCTGGAAGAACACATAGATTACTCACTATTGTTTTTAATTCCCGCGGACGGAGTCACGGGCGAAGCTAGTTTTACATAATTTTCTGAAAGATTTTACTGAGATACCAATACTCTTTGGTCCAGATAAGTTTATCATACTTCGGCGTTGTTATAATTACAGTATGTGGAGCGAAATCCCCCCTTCTCCTCCCCTCACCCCCGCATTCACCCGCCGTGTAAAGTAACAGTTAAAGCAGAGCAATTCCACTCGAGCAATTCGGATTTCGGAGAATTTGTTTGCTTAAGATTTTATTTTTAAATTGTCGTTTGGTACAAAGGTAATCGGATCGAATGTTTATATAACACGTATTTTTTTCTTAATTGTATTATTTTGTTTACTTTAGAACGACGCAACAGTTTTGGTCCTCTAAGTCTCTTTTCTTTCTTCCTTCTCACAAGACATATCTTCCCTGGCTAATCGCCATCGATGTATACGTTCAATTTCGTCTTTGTTATTTTTTTTTATTAAATAGGCAATAACTATAGACCATATTTGACTGTTTTGCTTTCAAATTAAACACTAAATTATTAGCACTCGACTTTTAGCAAATACATTTTAAAACTACTGCCAAAAAATTACGTTCAATATATGGTTTGACTTATGAATTTTGCGTCCAATGCCCTAGATATATAATCCTTCGTGGTCTAAAACTGATCCATTATAGCCGCAGGGGCAAGTTACGAAATTTGACAAAATGACTATCAGGTAACGCCCGGTAATATTTTCCTATTAATATATTTGAGGGTTTAGTGAAATACAAAAACCCAACTCTGTTATTGAATCTGAGACTTCTTGGGAATAAAAAAACATAAAAAAAATCCACAGCATTTAAAAGTCTATTAAGACGTTAAATACATACCATAGATATAAAGATACGATCTAGAAGTGTCTTTGATGTTTTTAATATCATTCGTTTCGACTCGAGTTTAAGCTTTCTGATAAATGCAGAGCAATGTACAGCTCTTATCTTGTTTCTTGTCATGTCAACTCTGTAATTTTGCTGCATCATACGTTATCTGCAATTTTTAACTCAGACCCAACCAAGTTGCACGTTTGCCGCCATTTCATTTAGCAACGTTATTCTTTTACTTTTAAATATTTCGACCAGTTACTTCGAAATATAGATTTAAAAAAAACATTTCACTATTCCTTGTTTTTTCTTTATTTTCTCTGTTGTGTTGTATTACAAATTACGTTGTAACAAAATTATTAAAAATGCATGCAACAAATTCCAATATGGCGGTCCGAACGTTTCAATTATGGCGGTCAGGTAGCAGCTTAAAGCAATAAAGGCATCTGAAACTCTAACACGCCCCTAGCGCCACCTGGATGAAATTGATCCCCAATTAATATTTAGGATACTTTATTACGTTGAAGCAATTTTATAAAAACGTGACTTCATTGCCTTCCAATACTGAATAAGCTGTCTTATGTCCTCCAATAATGCGTTTAGATGTTACAAAAATACTAAAATAACTTAAGTTGAGATGTTTATTACTACTATTGGTATAACATTAAGAAAATAATACAGGAAAAAATATAACTATTGCTTTTTATTTTATTTTTTGTTACAGTCGAGCCAAGAATACAAAATCCTGGCCCGAGGGCGCTTCAACCGCCTTCTTTATTACATCACTTTCTAAATCGTGCAAGGGTTTTAGTTCTATATTTCTACGCATGGCAAGGTTTTTTAAATTTCTGCTCAACCTATATATTGTCGACGCTTAATTGATTGTTGCGTTAACGTCTTAAATAACGTTATAGGTTTACTGTTACTTATTTAAACTTATGCAAAATAGGTAAAGTAAAATGTCAGACATAATCTGTATCATAAAATATTTAGTTAAGAACATAGTCATTATTATCACTGTGGTATTAATTGACCTGTCTGCTGCAAACTTTGTCACTGATGTGCAATTATGTGCATTTTGCAGCAAGTGACGGCGAAAGTGCTGTTCGGCAGCGTAACGGCGATCAATGACCTCAAGCGCCAGGAGAAGGCCGAGCGGGAAGTTCGGCGAACGCATTAGCGCCATCTAGTAACAGGTTTGTACATTTTGCTTAAGTCTACGTTCTGTGTGTTTCGTCATACTATCAATAGATGGCGCTTTACTGGAATATTAATCACACTTTTAGTTAAGCTATTCGTTGGTAGATGGCAGCAGTTATTAAGTAGCAGTTCGTACATTAAGTGTTATAGATGCAAAATCTAGATGGAGCCACTCTCTGTAATAACTTTTTAAATTCTTCTCTTTTATTATTAAGATTACTGCCTTTGCTTAATTGGGTACAATAATAACGTTTACCGTTTACTTTTTGTTACAGAATGAAAACTATGATCATGTGATACGAAGAAAATCATGGAAGCTACGGAGTGATCTCGGAAGACAGAAAATAATGTGCATAAAATATATTTTTTTAGATTCATAATATTATACTTAGATTATAGATATTACTCCTATATTGTCTAAGATCTTATAGAAAATTATTTACTACGTAAAATTTTACCTGATTGTATTAGATACCTGAAAAAAAAATGTTTATAAAATAAACATGACCTCCCGCTGTCTTTCAAAATATTTTAAGCTTTATAAAAAGTACATAATTTTAAATGTAGGATACTTCGTTAAATTTTACAAAACCTATTTAAAAATGTTTTGTCAGGAGTTTTATTTTTTTATAAAAAAAGGAAAAGGACAATTCAATATTTTTGATTTTGCTAAAACATTAAGACTGTGAAGCTACAATTTGTTTCTCGAATTACTGGGTTTAATTGTTTTTAATTAAAATAAAGAATGAAAACTGAGTTTAAGAAATCTTAAAATGCTATAAATGTTTTAAACCACTTCAAGTACAATGAATCAAGAATAGGTTACCTGAAAAGTTTTTTATTGAAATTTAAATTTATCACTGTTTATGTTTAATTACGTTTGATTTTTATAAAATAAATAATTGTTTTAATAGTTTTCAAATATATAAAAATAACCTACGTGTTTGTTTTTTTTCCTATTCCAACCAAAATTACTTAGTATGTTAAAAGGTGGCAACCAGAAATTAAAAATCTCATCCAAGTATTTTTTGACCGATTTCCCAAAAAGAAAGAGGAAGATCAGCTTAACGTTAGGTAGGTCAAACGACCACGATTAGGTAAATCTACACTAAGGCATTTCCTTAGTGCGTACATGTGCTTTAAGTATTGCAGTTAGTAACTAGTTATTCTATGGCATATCCAAGGCGACCATTGCGAACATCGACGTGTGCCGCCTCTGTAATTAATTACTCTATGTCGCAATATGGCCATAGCCCATATTGATAATACGTGCGACTCGACCTGCACGTGCGCTTTCTCTTGTAAATTCAAGGATCTATGATATGGATCTTACTAATATTATAAATGCGAAAGTTTAGATGGATGGGTGGATGGATGGATAGATGGATGGATGTTTGTCAGCGTTTGCAGTGTAAACGGCTGAACAGATCTCTATGAAATTTGGCACAGGTTTAGAGCATAGTCTGGAAGAACACATAGGCTACTTTTTATCCCGGGAATAGTTACGGTTCCTGTGGGATTCATTAATTTAGTTTTTTAATGTTTACTCGATCATTCTGCAACGGTTCAACATATCTTATTGAAACTTGGTACAAATGTAAAACAAAGTCTGGAGTACACATGGGATAAGCTTTATCCCCGAAAAACGTCCGGTTCCCGAGGGATACGTAACTTTTTGTAATTTATATAGTTTGTATGTTTTCTAATACCACGCGGACGAAGACGCGGGCAACAGCTCGTTCTTACATAATTATCATCCTTTATTTTAATGTAGTAAAATTTTATCTATTACAATGGATTAAGGCACAGATATAATCGAGAGACCATCAAGCGTCGAAACATTGTTAAGTCAGTGAACATTTTCTTTTTAAAACAATAAGGATGTTACAAAAATTGGGAATTACGTCTACGTCGCCTGTCTTCTATGTGGTCATGGTAATACAGAGGCGGTGAATTTGTACAAATATGGTTGCTGGCAATTTAATTGACTTTTACCATGAACAGCCATCTGTCTCATTCTCTGTGAAAAAAAAACAAAGATATATCTCACGATTACGTAACATAATTACTTAAAAACATCCGTTTTTCGCGTTCCAAGTTCAAATCGAAATAGAGCAAAAGAAACGTTAAGAGTAGATGAAATCGATTGTCATTGTTAAAGTGGAAAAATAATTTAACAAACTATTACAGACTTTTATTGAAGGCTGATTAAGTTTGTGTGAAATGAAGAAAACATCGCGACGCAAAAACACAATAAATACGATCAGTTGGAAAACGACCGTCGTCTTTGAATTTCACATTTTTTTTTTATATTACAACACAACAAATTGTTAAAATATTAGAAACTTATGAAGACATTTTTCAGGGAATTATTTTACGACTAGCTGTTGCCCGCGACTTCGTCTACACAATATTAAGAAGAAAAAAGTAGCCTATAAAATGCTCTTCTAGTCAGCTACCCTTCAGTGAAAATCCAGTCAAAATCGGCCCAGCCGTTTCGGAGATTACCTGGAACAAATGCGGCTTGCGGACAGACAGACGAAAAAAATGCTTTTTTTGTTATCAGCACCGCAAATATACCATCTTTCCGAAATCTGCAAATCTTTTTTTTTGACCGACTTCCCAAAAGAATGTTTTTTTTTACAAACAGACACTCCAATTTTATTACATGTATAGATTAAAAGTCAACGACAAATTTCAAATCCGAGATATCACCAACAATTAAGAAAAAAAAAACCGGCAACACTTTATATTCATATACATTATGTATTACAAAATAACAAGAACTACATTGTTTCTAATTATAAAAGAGTCTATAATCTTTGAAAGTTCCCACAGTCAACTTTTACAGGTTTACTTTCCTGTCTAACCGCTTTGAAAATAACTTCTGTCATTTTAAAACCATTAGCCATATCTAACCATATCCATTAGAATTATAGTATCATTTTAATCGTTACTATGGATTTAAGCTTTAAATCACGTAATAGGGAATATGCATGTATTTTTTTTTCTTTTTTTAAACGATTCTACTTGTTATAAAATAACCAGAAAAAAAAATTGACGCGAAAATATTCAACCATTGAGCTAAAAATAATAAAAAAAAAATTACGACCATTTTCGAGCGACTAAAACGCGACCGGAGTTGTCATGAGACGATTGACGTCATTCGTCTATTTCATTCATAACTTACGCTCAGATGTCACTTCGACGTAAAACACATCATAGTTTCTCAAGTTAAAAAAAGTCAAAAATCGATTCATTTTTATTATTCCTGGTACAAATAAGTGGTAATTAATAATTCTATTCATTATTTTTTTATTTTAAAGTTGGTTTTGATACCGTGTTTACAGTAAAATACTTCAAGAGTGTATTTCTATATAAACTAACGTAAATGAACTGTGTATTGCCAACACAGCGACGCCATATTAGATAAGCCACTTGCTTCGACCAATAGTGTGCGTTTTAGAACTTAGCGAGGGAATTTGAAAAAAGACACTTTTTAATGATTAAATTTTACCACTAAATCACATTACATTTAAAAATATCTTTGCAGGACTGTTTTTATAGTAATAAAGTATACTTAAAATAAGTTTGGTACAATTTGGCGTCATATGCATATTGCCTATTCTAAACGTGTATACTTTGTCAGTAGCTGTTGCTCGCGACTATGCTCGCGTGTAATTAAAAAGTGTAAAAAATGTTGGCCATATAGCCAATTTTCTCTCATATAAATTACCTTTGTAATGGTAACAGAATTTTTAAAATCGGCTCAGTAGTTTTTACGTGAATACAAATCTTTCCTATTTACAATATTAGTATAGATAAAACAATTTTAATGTCGCAAACCAAATGTGAAATTAGACAATTTGTAATCGGACTAGGTATATTTTATAAATTACCAGCTTTCGCTCGCAACTTTGTCCGCGTGGTATTAAAAAAAAAAACAAAAGTGAGTAGCCTATGTGTTCTTCCAGACTATCCTCTACATCTATACCAAATTTCATCGAAATCTCTTCAGCCGTTTAGGCTACAAACTCTAACAAACATCCATCCATCTAAACTTTCACGTTTATAATATTAGTATGATTTACATTACGAATTTTCTGGACTAGAAAACATTTATTGTAATCTTAAAATGTTCAGACATCATCTATACTCATATAATAAAGAGGAAAGATTTGTATTTTTGTATGTATTGAAATAACTTTAAAACTACTGGGACGATTTTAATTTTTTTTCACCATTAGAAAGGTAATTTATCTCTGAGTAACAAAGGCTATAGTTTTTGATTATTTTTAATTTCACGGGGACGAAGTCGCAAGCAACAACTATCACTAAGTCAGTATTGATTAGCTTCGAAATGTATAGAAAATAACAGGTTTGATGAGTTTGTAAATATTTCAGTCCGATCCTGACTTGTCAATGTTTGTCATAATTCACAACTGTTCGGTGGCATTAAGTCAAAATACTCCAATATTCCGGCATCGCCCATTCTCGATTAGTTTGACTGGCAATGTGTTTAATTCCCACAAAAAATGTCCGCGTCGATTGAGAATGACACAACGAACGCTGTGTTCGCGGGGTCTTTGGCCGCACCCGAAATCGCCCGCGTCCGCCCATCAGAAGCCGGCGTCTAATGATTATGCCTAAGGTGCCCGCCACCTGTCACACCGAGCTGTAATTACACCGTTTACAGAATTCAATACGTTGTTTACAATTCGTATATTGTCAATTTCACATGTAAAATAAAAAGTGACAATTTTTTATTCACCACAAGGTAAATAACAAAGTACTTACGTGTTACAGAAATTAATTATAACCTTAGTTCGGACAAAATAATTGTTTGACAAAACATTCTTTATAATCATTTATATCACCAAGTTTAACAGTTTTACAACATTTTGCCAATCTCTTACAATTAACACATATATTGAGTTAAAAAACCATTACAGTCACAAGATAAATTATATTTAAAATACATCGACAAATATGACTAAAAGATAATGAAAAAAAAATCCACAGTGACGTCTAGTACGGTGTAAATGCGTCCGAAAAAAGCTCATTTTAGTGCAAAACAAGCACGCGAACTCGAGATCATCGCACGACGCGAGGTCTCCTAACAGTACATCGTCCAGCACAGCCTCCCGCCTTACGTAACAGTCCCGCCGCGCCCGGCGAAGCCTCACTACGCCACGGGAACCGCGAAACAAAACACAAACAAACTTTTAAACTATCAATAATTTTCTAAACACTACGAAACTAGCGCCATCTTGTTTTGCAAAACGTCAAAAGTTATATCTCAAAAATATATTTTTAAAAAAGTTTTGTTTGCGGTAGTGAAATAATTTTGTTACATCATAAAAGTATGTAAATTCAAGTTAACAACGATAAAAAATGGGGATGTTCAGGTTAGTACATTAATTTTTCTATATACTTTTTAGATCTTGCTGTCTTTTTGGACATTGTAATATAAGTTCATTCTTTACCGTCCCTTACACCTTTAAGGTCTTATTTACAATTCGTTTAAAACGTATAATTTTCAAGCTGACACTAAAACTACAATTACAATTTGCGACAGCTTTCTTCAGAGCTTTAACTTATCGGTTTCTCTTAAGTTGAGGGAAAGTTTAGCTTTCCTTACGTGCGGACATACCGAGAAAGTTTGTCAGTGCATGTTTATAATTACATATTTACCTGATGCGTGAGATACCTGTTTATTGTAAGGAGGTTGCATTCGAAAAGTTTTCACTTACGTTAGAAGATGGTAAACAGGCTAAATTGTTAAGTGTAGGTCGCTACTTACTAGTATACACAACAAACTCATGAGTAAAGTGGAAAGTGACAAACTAACGATTGAACGTGGTCATGAGTTCGATTCCCGCGATACCGTGAAGAAACACAAGCCTAGAGTTTATTTTAAAATGACTTGAATTATTGAAAACAATCAAGATACATATCTTATCTAATACTAGCTTGCGCCAGCGACTCCCTCCGCGTGGTATTAAAAAAAAAACTAAGTACCCTATATCTTCTTCCTGACCATACTCTACATCTGTACCAAATTTCATCGAGATCCGTTCAGTCGTTTAGTCTACAAACTCTAACAAACATCCATCCATCTAAACTTTCGCATTTATAATATTAAGTAAGATTTAATTTATTTCAAAGAATCAATGGTCGTTTAACATCACTTCCTATAACTTCTTTTCTAGATACCAGTACATCTGCCTTCTACTCCCACTGCTAACAAATGGGACACAGGATCAACATAAAAGTGTCCCATCAGGGGATACCAACAGCTGCCCTTTCAAAAGAATCATTGAAGATATATTCAGAATACAAAGGAAATATACAGAAAATCCACTTACAATAAAAGAAAATGAAAGAAGGAAATTCTTAGTAAACTCAGTAACTAATTTAACAACATACAACAGTACGCACGTATCGATACAAGAAGAATTAATAAACGACATAATTGCATCAATAAATAGAATAAAAAATAACATGTCATCAGAAATAAATGCCAATGAAACTAAACTGAATGAAGCAATCATTCTAAATGTACCTCAAAACGAACTTTCTAATACAAAAGCAAATGAGAATTATAACAAAACTGGGTATAACACAACATTCATTAAAAGTGGCATTGAAGATAAATTTGATATGCATCCTTTGATAAATGCCACAAATAAATATAACATTAACAAAACTAATATTTCAACAAGTAAACCAGATTATGTAGAAATATTAACAATCGAGCCTAACACAAGCAATAACACAACTCAACACAATATAATCGAAGTATTAAAACATTTAATGCCGATGTTGAATAGTTCGAATAACAAGGAACTTCACAGTGTCACTATAATTGAAAGGAATCATAGTAAAAACCATTCAATATCTGAAACAAAGAATATATCAACACTAGTTCTTAAATATTGTGACAAAAGTAATATGACTGCGGTAACTGATGAAAAACTGACTGATGATGATTCAGGAGTAGATTATTCTAATAAAGAATTGCCAGTTATCGACCAGGATAATTTAGAAGATGATTATGATATCGATAAAGAGAATTCGGAGTATAATGACAAACCAGTGGCCAGTAATTTAACGAATAAAAACAGAGATGTTTTAGAAGCAGCTGAATATGGAATTCAGAAAATGCACGAATTGTATAGCGTTTTAGAGCCGAAATTGTACTCTATGGGTGAGTGTTTAACGCGTGTAAGTAACACGCAAACTTTTAGTAAATTCCATGAAAACCAAGTAGTTTTTTATGACTTTTCGAATCAATTTATTATTACAGTTAACTTTAAAACCTACCAATATGTTAGATATCTCAATCCAATTCTAATAATAGATATTCTCTTCAGGGCTATGGTTAGACGATACCAACCCGGCTCGCTATTTGGCAGCATTCAATGCACCATCAGAAGACTCGGCCAAATATACTCGCTACGGTTACGCTACTCTACAAGCAGCCACTAAATTTAAACAGCTTAACAGGTCAGTTTTCAGTCGATTATTCTAATCTTGTTGATTGGCTTGAGTATGCTTGAGATGATGCGAAATGTTACAAACAACAGTACCGGATTTTACCAGCTGTTGGAGGAGACTGGATTCTCAGACCTGTGACCTTTCTATTTAGCGCCTAACCTTAACGCTGGTGCCGACTTAGAGATCAAACTTCGAGTTTTCGGACTATACAATTAGTTGTTGAAACACCATTATCCTCACCTCTGATGATGGTTACGTCATCATCTTACAGCACTAAGAGCGGACGTACACCTTTGTTTAAACTATCGCACAGTTGTGCGGTTGTCGATTGTTTCGCAGTCAATTCAACTGTTTAGTTGCACATCTAAAATTCGAGTTGTGCGCACCTCCATACAAGCTTGGAATCAAAGCGAGACTAACAGTTGTGCGATAGTTTAGTTTGAGGTGTTCACGCTCTAAACTACCACTAATCACGTCTACATTATGTCACTGATTTATTTTTGACACGCCTGATGACTTACGATTTCGATACATCAACAATTAGATTGTGAAATCGAGTAATCAGAGTGTCTGCTCGATGGAAAATCGAATAGTTTTGCGAAACATCGAGACTTTGATATGCTATTCCTAAAATTATTGCATAAAATAATTATAGTCTTGAAGACATCGATGTTGAGATAGAGTTATAAATGGATTTTTTAAATGATGTGAATCTTAATTGACATTAAAGTATATGTGAAAAGGTTACCTGTTTATAATAATATTATAAATTTTGATTTTACTTTTGGATTTTTGTATGTATTGAAATAACTAAAAAAAACTACTGGACCTATTTCAAAATTGATTGGTTTTCAATTCTTGCACCATTAAAAAGCTATGTTGAGTAACAGGCTATTTTACTATTGTTTTAATTTCACGCGGGCGAAGTCGCGACAACAGCTAGTCATTAAAATAAAGTCGTGCTTATTTCCACAATTTTTACGTAAAGATTCATTTAATGCCTCCGCATACTACAGACATTTTATCGGCTGTTTCTTTAGTATCTTGCTTTTTAATAATTAAAAAGGTGTGGAAATCATAAACTAATTCATCCACAAACGAGATTACATATATAAAAAACAAAATACACTAAAACAAAACAAAATGCACTAAAAACAAAACAAAATACACCAAAAACAAAATATTCTCAAACAAACAGTACACTAAA